GGTGATTGTACTCCCTCCTAGGTTGCTTTTTTTTGTTTTTGTTTTCTTTTCGGTTAGCACCCAGTTTCTGACTCCCAATTCTTCCAGTTTTTGGGTTTTAGCTTTTTGAAGCGAAAGCAGCCCTGGCTCACAGCTTTGTCTCCTTGCAGCGCTTTCTCTCGATGCAGAGCGAGCCCCAGGCACCCTCGCCGGCCACACACTTCTTTCTTATGGTGGATAAGGTCGCCTGCAGATCCGGGCTGGACCTTATGCGCTGCCCAGGTGGAGGTAAGTTTTGTAGTCACCCGGAAACCCTGGCACCCTTTGCTTGATTCCTTTCTAGAGGGAAGAGAGTCTTCATTTTCCAACTAGTAAGACAAGAGGCCAACGGGGAAGGATATACGAGGTTCGCAGAAGGCACTGGTTCCTTGAGATGAGAACGGGCGACAAGTTTCTGTGGCCTGAATTTGGCTAGTGGTAGGTGAGGCATCTGGTCGCGGACTTGTCCCCTGCTCTGGGCATTCTGTCCCCCTTTCAGAGCTGTTCTGAAAGGCAGATTTGTTTTATAGAGGGGAGGAGAAGGGGTGAATGGTTTTTAAAAATCAGTGTAAATTACCTGCTAGGAACCCAGGCAGTTCCAGACAGGCTCCCCTGCCAGAAGATAGGGTAACAGATTTCATTTCTGGCAAAAAGAAAAAAAACACTGAGCTTGGTGGATGTCTGCTATTGCGTAATGGATTTTTTGCAGCCCTTCCAGATGCAGTTTTGGGAAACTGAGTTCTTAGAAATGGCTGACTTCGCAATTTTTAAAAACAATGTAATATACTGTAAATTTACTTTTACAAAGTTTTATTGGTAGATGGAAGAAGTTGTTTTGTTTTGTTTTGTTTTTTCCTATTTCATGGGGAGGGTTTGAAGGTTGCCCCCAGCTCATCTGCCCTGCCTTCACTGGCCCTGGGAAAGACCTCCTTAGCCTGGGCCCCAAATCTCTAGTGGATTTCATCCTTCATTAATTAAATTCATCCCTTACTGATTGTAAGACTACTTCCAACCACAAGTTGGTTTTTCCATTTGTAACTTAGTTGCTTAACATTAAGAAAAATGTCCTCGTGAATTACCAACAATCTACAAAATCAACTATGTTCCAGGGACTGAAAAGGTAATGGTTGGGGATCTAAGGGGGGCTTTGTTGGGCACAGGGGACCTAAGGAGAGCCTGCTAAAATGATCTGTGTGGGTATCGGCCATTCCCTCCCCATAACCGTGCAGGGATTCTGACCCAGGGTGTCTAGATCTTTCTCCCCTCCCCCAAAATAGCTGAAAAAAAATTTTTTTTTACAAAGTAAAATCTGATTTAAATATTGACTTTTTTTTCTTTTTTAAAACACAAGAACCAATCATATTTGGTTCATGCATCATTCATTTTCAGATCTGCCTTAGAAACTCCTATACCTGGTGATTGCATTCTTGAGGGGAATGAAAAATTCTGACCTATGATGTAGGTATTATGTACTTGTCATGAAGTGAGGTGGTGGGAAACCGAGATTAATGCTGTTGAAAATTATTTCTTCTGATTCTCAGTTCCTGTTTTCTATGAAGGATGCAGTACTTCCGCTGCATAAGAGGAACGTAGTCTTTTATGGTCATTCTAATGAAAATTTATTCGTGGTTCTAGATCAGGATGTCGAATACCTAACTCCCTGATTTAAAAGAGGAGTTCCCAAATGACTGTTCATATAAATCAGATGCGTTTCTCATGGTGACTATTTGTATTCTTAACCACATTGTCTTTGGCACCGGATGCAACGCTTAAGGTTTTCTTGTTTCTTTGTCTCTCATCTGTGGCAGACGCTACAGATGTTGACATCTTGGGCCAGTTAAGCTTTTGTTGTGGAAATTGTCCTGCGTTTTGTGGGATGTGTAGCAGCATCCTGGTCCTACCCAGTCAGTGCCTCCCTACAGTTACAACAACCCAGATGTCTCCGGATGTTGCCACGCACCCCCTGGAGGACAGAGTCACCTGGTTGGGGAAAAGAATGAGCCGACATTTAAAATGCTCTGGACGTGTATTAACTAAACTGTAAATACAATTAACTTTTAAACTTCTGGTGACTAGAGAAACTATCTGTAATGTATAAACAAACATCTACATTTTAAAATACTTTTATAATGAAGGTGACTGAATAGTGTTCTTTGTGCACAGCCTCTTGTGTCCTGCCAGGATTTTATCTCCAAGGAAATTTCAGGTGTTCGATGTGGTTGTTGAATTTCTAAAGTTTAAAATAGTGGAAGCTAAAAAGGAATTCTAGAGTGGTTTTCATTTTTCTCCTTTTATGTTTTTAAAGATTTATTTGTTTTTATTTGAGAGAAAGAGAGAGCAAGCTGGGAGAGGGGCAGAGGAAGAGGGAGAAAATGTTCAGCAGACTTCCCACTGAGCAAGAAACCCAACTCAGGGCTGGTCCCCCGACCCTGAGATCATGACCTGAGCCGAAATCAAGTCAGACGCTTAACTGACTGTGCCACCCAGGCGCCCCCATTTTTCTCCTTTTAGTTTACTTGATGTCTTTTAATTTAAGATGGTAAAATATTAATGAACCATGCTTACTGATATGTGAAAATTGACACAGTCCCTAATAGAACCACAGCAAAAATTCTAAGCAAAAATTTTAACAATAAAGACTCGATGTGGATCATGTTCATAGTAGAATTTAGTTTTAGGAAACATAAAAAGCTTTTACCTAACAGCAATAGCTAAGATAACCATATATTTCTGTAGTCTGAGAAATTCTAATTTTGTGGAAGAGAGCCCTATATAATATACAATATAATGCTTATCAGAAGAAGAAAATGTCCTGAATATATAAGCAACCCTCTTTTTTTAGACCTTAAGCTCAGGAGGTTGAAAACACAGCCCTAGTTATTGAAAGATGCATCCTTAGAGAGGGATTGGCTATCCATTGGATCCCTTCCAGAAATCGAACTAATTTGTAAGACTCAGGATTGGCTATATAATTGGTGGGGCCCCATGTTTAAAAATTATTTAAGAACACCAAGATGGCCGGGGTGCCCGGCTGGCTCAGTTGGAAGAGCACATGACTCTTGATCTCAGGGACGTGAGTTCGAGTTCCACATTGGGTGTAGAGATTACTTAAACAACTCAAAAAAAAAAAAAAAGAATATCAACATGGCAGCAGACAGCTTGAGTATTAAGTGAATCACAGGGCCCTGTGTGGCTGTATAGGTTACACACTCGTGAAGCTGACCCTGGCTCTTTGCCCATAGCTCAGAAGAGGATTGCAATCACTAATGCAAATCCAGAGGAGAGATTACTGCTCCCCCAAAGCACTGAGAGTTTCCAATTCACGGATTGTACTAATATTTCCAATCAGGAGTCCACATGTATTTGGTAATTGGTAAGCTAAATTTATTAAGAAGGGGCACCTGGCTAGCTCAGTCAGAAGAGCATGTGACTCTGGACCCCAGGATCATGAGTAGAACACCACGTTGGGTGTGGAGAGTACTAAAAAAATAAAAATAAATAAACTTTAAACAAATAATAAAAATAAATTTACTCCCATGAATAAAAAAGAAATTCCTCCCATGAATAATTTTTCTTTGCTAAAGAGTTAGCCAAATGATGTATGAGGGGCCTGGGTACCTGAGCGACCTATTTCTTCAGGCATTCATTGAACGACTTACTGAGCTGAGCACCTGTACAGGACAGGCATTGGCAGCTCTGACCCTACGGCTGCGAAGGATGGTGGGTCCCTGCCTTTCTGAGCCTTCTAGCCTAGGGGCTAGAGGCGGGGGTGGAGATAAACGAGCACATAGCCCCACAGGCTGTCCCAGCCGTCACTGGGACTCCGGAAAAGCCCAAGATGTCCAGAGGGCATTTAATCTGAGGGGAGGGGATTGCTCAGGGTAGGTCTCCCTAGAAAGTGATATTTAAAATAAGGCCTGAAAAATGAATAGAAAGTAGTCAGGTGAATTAGCGGCCTGAGTTCCATGTTAGAAGGGTTGAGACCAAGGCCAGGAATATAGCTTTGGAGTGAGGACTCTCGGGTCATTTTCAGGACTTTGGACTTAGACAGAAAGGTAATGGGAACCTTTTGAAGGACCTTAAATGGGAGATGAGATGAGCGATTAAGTTGGGGTTTTTGAAAAGATGATTGTCACTGCTGTGTGGGAGAATGGTTTGCAGGGTTAGGCTGGGCTGGTATGTGTGATGTCTTTTTACAGACCAGGTAAGATGCACTACTTTGTCCCAGCTGGGCCAGACCAAAGGCCTCAGGCCCTCAGCCTGTCCGTTTGCACACATGCCATACCCAGGCTGAGGGGCAGGATGCAGTACAGGCAGAGTGCAGAGGTTTTTGCTGGTGATCCAGGGCATGGTGCTGTGATGCTGAATCGAAGCTAGAGGCAGAGGGGTTGGGGGGAGGAGGGAAGGGGAGAGACGGTGAGTCTGTAGCTAAAGTCAACATGAAAGTGGTGATTATTTGGATGTGGTTGATGAACAGGGCGGTATGGAGGATGTTTTGAAAGTTTCTGGCATAAATAACTGAGTGGGATGGGGTGGTGAGGCCATTTATGGGGTTAGCAAACCCTGGGGTGGGGGAGGGAAGGTGATCCACCGGGATAGGTTTTGCTTGGGAGACACCCAAGTGGAAACCAAGGAATTGGCATCGGGAACTCTTGAAAGTGGCGGGGTGGAAGGAAGTCCATGTTGGGAGCTGTTGCATGTAAATAATCATCACATACCCAAAAGGTCATCTGAGGGGGGGTGTGGGGTGAGAGGAAGAGAAGGGGGCTGGCCCGGAGAAAAAGACCGCTGTGTTTGGAAGAGGAAGAGCCTCTGGTTAAGGCAACTGAGAAACCACGTAGACTTGCAGGATAAGGAGGAAATGTGGGGTTTCCTCTTCTTTCTCTCTTTCTCTTTCTCTTCTGCTCTTTCTCTCCTTTTCCACCTGAGATTAGAGAGACTTGAACAAATTCTAATGCCGCTGATGAGTTTCTGGTAGAGAGGGAGAAGCTGAACATGTGTGAGTGAGAAATCCATGACTGAGCCTGGTTTCAGGGAAGGCGAAAGAGGTTGGATTCCATTACACAGGTGAGGGGCTTGGTCTTTGATGGAAAGAGGGAGGGAGAGGACGGATTAAATGACTCCAAGTTGAGCTCTCTGAAGGAGGAGGCAAAACCATCTGCCGAGTTTGGTGTGTCAGCTACTCCGTCGACCAGTATTCTTCAAGCATTTTCTAGCGCCAAACACTGTGGTAGATCATGAATGATGATGACCCTTATGCTCAGCCCTGACAGACTAATAAATATATGTTTGGTCTTTGTCTATGGTTCCTGACACTGGGCTCTGAAGCCCTTGGAATTTCCGGAGGGATTGTGATGATAGGAATGTCTTTTGTTATTCATAGAAGGATCTCTTTTCCACACCTGTTTATGCTAATGAGGTGGCTGAGGTGTACGGGGTGCCCTAGGTAGCCTCAGGATGGGGTGGTCACCAGAAAGAACCAGTAATTAGAGGGTTGGAGCTTTCAGCCCCACCCACTGTCCTCTGGGAAGGGGGGAGGGGCACACCTAGAGATGGGTTGTAAAAACTTGATCAACACTATTTGGAGAGCTTCTGGGTTGAGGAACCCACAGACACAGAGGTGCTGGGGAAAGTGTCTACACCAGAAACAATCCAAGGTAATTGTGATGTTTTTCACAGTGAGAGGGGGGTGACTGCTTTTTAGAAGAATTCATGCTACAGAGACGCATTTTAGAAAGAGCTGTTTGGAAATGTTTTCACTGTAACGTAAACATGTTGCCAAGGAATATGGTAGATTTGTGACTGATCAAAACTTTAAAAAAACCGAAAACCTTTAAGAACTTGGAAAAATAATTGCCCGACAAAATCTTTTAAGTGAGGAGTATCAGTGGGTTTTGAATCCATCTGTTAGATTCATTAAAATGTGACACCTACTGACTAGTTTGCAAGGACAATTGATTGAGAACTACCAGCTGAATCTCACCAAAAAAAGACTGTGTAATTGGTGAATGGACTGAAAACGAAGTATCAAGATTTAGGTAGCAGAGCCCAGAGTGTTCTACTGTTTCTCCAGTGGATCCCTGTCACCCCAGACAGCCGTTAAAACAAAATGTTGGGATACAGGAAACTTGGAAGCAGTCCTTAGCAGGGCTCTAGAACAAGATAATTAACCAAGAGTTTTCAAAAATAAAGCGTATTTAGGGGTGCCTGCGTGGCTCAGTTGGTTGAGTGTCTGGGGCTCAGGTCATGATCCCAGGGGATTGAACCCTGGAGTCTGGCTCCCTGCTCTCTGCTTCTCCCTCTTCCTCTGCTCTTCCCCCTGCTCATGTTTTCTCTCTTCCTCTTTCTCTCTCAAATGAATAAATATTTTTAAAAAAAATAAAGCATATTTAATCTATTGCTTTCGTTACAAATATTAATAACCATTTGTATTTGTACCATAAGTGATTACACTAATAAGCGTTATTTCCTCTTTTCCCCATCTTTTTGTTTTATAATGTGCAAAAGTTAATTACATGGAATTTTTAAAGAAATGTACATATCTAGATGGGACTTACTCAAAGCTTTTACTCTTGGTGTTTGTACTAAAAAACGTACAAACTTATCATTAAAAACTGAGTCAAAGTGTCCCCCTTCCCGTATAGCAATTTGAGAACTAGATTTCCTTGTAAACTGTAAAACTACCTCTTCCCCATGATGTGCTCCTATAGTTCATTCCTGGAAAATAAAATTGCTACTAGAGCTTCTACCCTGAAAAGTAACAAATACAGAATGTATGTGTGTCTTGTTTTCTCTTGAAATGTGTACCTTAAACTTCCTTTAAATAATCCACTTTAAAATGCTTTAAAAAGAAAGAAAAAAGAAACTTCTGGGGGTGTTGTGCCAGTTTTCTGCTCCAGGACAGGTAAATGCTTTAAGTCATTTCTACATAGGCCTTGTGGTTCTCATTCCTTCCTTCACTAGCCACCTCTGTGCTGTTGACAGGTCCGCCCCAAGCCATTTTGGATCTTTTGGGGAAGCAGATTGGAGAGGGCTACGTTCTCTTCTGCAGGTAAAGGTGAGGGTTAAAAAGCAAGTCTTGAGTTACCTCTGCTATCGTGGGGCTCTGGCTGCATCCTCCACAAAAAGTTCACTTGGGGTGGCTGTAAGATTCAGCTGATCGTGGGTTGGAATCAAGTAATCACGAATTTTCTGGAATCAGCGGCTGGACCCCAGGAATGTGCCTAAGGCGCCATCCAGGGTGTTCGACTTGGCAAGCGTGTTTGGCCTTTAGGTATGTGTGCCTGAGAGGCCTCTAGGATGTCTCTGTTCCATCTACAGAGTTGGAGCACACTGATCTCATCTTCGTTTACTCTTTCCCTATGTTATGCTAATCGAAGTCATTCAGTTCACTCAAGAAGATTCATTTCTAACACTACTGCTAATTAACAAAACACCTGGCTAACAGAGAGAATTCCTGAAGCACGCGATGTAGTAGCTGCCAGTGGAGTGTGGCCCTCCCAGGAAGGAGTCCCTGTAAACCTCCCCCGCCCCCAGGGGGACCCTCAGCTATTGTTTCTGGCCAGTCTGGCTAGATGCTCTCACCTGTTCCTTTCAGCACTACAATGGATGCATTGTTCCCCAAATAGTTTTGATCTATATTGACCAAGCCTATAATTTCCCCCAGAAGGCTCAGCAGATAAGCATGTGTGGATTCCTTGAGATCAGGAAGATGCTTTATTTATGATTGTACTTCCCCCTCCACCCCAAAACCCAGAACCTAGGATTCTGTTTTGTATAATAGCTACTAGGTGTGGAATTAAATTGAGTGCATTTGTTAGTAAACTTGAAACACGGTTTCTGATTGTGGAAGTCTAAGAAAAGTTCCCTCTAGGCATGAACTAAAGATATGAACAATGTCCAGACAAGAGAAAACATAAACCATAGTGAATAAATGGCTAACCTTAATGAAGGGCCCATGTGTCAGATACAGTGTAAGCATATGACAGGTTGCCTCACTTATTCTTTATAAATACTCTAAGGCACACATGACCCTAATTCAATCAGACTGCCTAAAATTATTATTGTTGTTGTTAATATTATTATTTTTACCAGCAAAGAAGTTAAGGGTGTACAGAAGTCTTGAGTTGGTGGGTGATGATGCCCAGTTTTTGAGCTGAGCAGTCTGGTTCCAGAGCTAAAATCATTGTACTAAGCTCTCCTTGCATGTAAATATACTCAAGAGAAAATATTGAGCCACTGGTAATCAAAGAAATACAAAATGAAACCTCACTGATGTACCATTATATAGTTGTGATAATGACAAAGATAATTATACAATCGGTGAATATCTAGTACATAATTAAGATAGTTATATAGTAAATGTAGAAAAAATGGTGTTCAGATATTACTACTGGCAGTATAAGTGAGTGTAGTCCATTTGGAAGACAGTAGAGAGCCATAGAAATTTCTAAGTTTTTTTTTTAAGATTTTATTTATTTATTTGACAGAGACAGAGCAAGATAGGGAACACAAGCAGGGGGAGTGGGAGAGGGAGAAGCAGGCTTCTCGCAGAGCAGGGAGCCCGATGTGGGGCTCGATTCCAGGACCCCGAGATCATGACCTGAGCTGAAGGCAGATGCTTACCGCCTGAGCCACCCAGGCGCCCCAAAATTTATAAGTTTTGATTCAAGAATCGTACTCCTGGAAATCCTTTATAAAGCTAAGAGAAAACAAATTATGTGTATCTTCAAAAGGTTCATAGTTCATGTTTACAACAATATAATTTGGAAATATCCTTAATATCCAACCACAAGACGCATACTAACATTGGCAAAAAAACAATACAGACTCTCCGATGTCCATTAATAGAAAAAAAACAACAGAAAATTGAATCCCAGCTTCTATTACATCTATGCACAAATGTAAGTCAGGAGCGTCCCTCGACAGGCATTAGAAGGGAACTTGAAAATGATGTGTAACTGGACTAGAACTGTAAGTGGCTTTTTGTTTGTTTGGAAATTATCTTTACAATAATGCTTTGCCAGCATGCTTAATTGGAGCTTATGTTGGAGGATTGTGGCCATTTTATCTCAGTTGCAATTTTAAAAGAAATTCCTGAAGTGAAATTAAAAACATTTCAAAAGTGCTTGAATAAATACCCCACCCCCAAACAAAAGATGATCACTGAATAGTTTTGGGTATGTCTGTGCTCACAATTTTCTAGTGCACATTGATAGTATATTTGGAGCCTTGTTTTTTAATGGGTTTATTCTATACATGCTGTGTGTCGTTACGTAGAGAATTCCTTCATTCTTGGCTTTGGCAGTACTTTGATATTCAACGTATATACCTAAATGTAATCTAGATACAATGAAAATGTTGGAACAAGTTTGCCACTCGAGTTTATGCAGCCCCTTCGAGGGAATGGTTAGGTCTCAGATCACAAATGGTTCCCTGTATCTTAGGACTGAAGCCCTCAGGAGGAGAGTTTGTCATATTGACACCTGCAGGAATATTTGGAAGGTTCTGGGGCCCCTCGGAAGGTTTAGGAGGTAAGGCAATGTATGATTCGAAGCTGTTAATAACTGGACCCAGTATTCTTGGCCAGAAAATGAGACTGCTCTGTTCCCCCTACCCTCTGGGGAGTCAGCTCTGGGCTGAACCCCCTCCCACCTCTTCCCTGCTGGTAAACAGGAGCAGATGACCCAATTCAGAGCAGCCTAAAGCCTCAGTTTGCTTGAGTGTGAAGTGAGAGGGAAAGTAACTACTTGCAGGGTTGCGGGAACTGGAGGCAATGTATAAAATGTTGCAACGTTCTTGCTAACCCTTCACCTGAACAATCTCCTTAATCCCACAATAACTTCCATTGCGAAAGCACCATCAATTTTAATACCTGCTTTTAAGGAAATTAAAAAAAAAAGAAAAGGAAAGAAACCACCATAGTAGCGAACATATGATGCATCAAGTGCCTGTCAATTTCAGAAGCTGTTACGTAAGAAAGTCAGTCCTCCGACTTCGGCAAGTACAGCCTGATTAGTATGTTGTCTTGGAGCAGGTGCTCCCCATCGTCTTCCACTCCAGACAATCAATCTGGCCAGGCCTCAGCCTCCCCGTCCCGGGCCATCATCCGCCCGCTGAGGAGTACCAGAGTGCTGTATGAGTCGGGAGTTGGGGACCCCTGACCCAAACCCAACTGCCCTTGTGCACAGGCTAGGAACCCCAAGCGCAGGAAGGTAAGGTCAGTCCTGAAGACAGGATGAGCACCATCTAGTACGAGGCCGGTGGTTTGGGGTTTCTTGATAGCTACTCGTTCTGTCCGACCTGACACAGGGGACTGAGAATTCACGGTATGCTCCCCAACACACTGTAATTGGGAGCATTTAAATACTGTACTCTAAGTTTCCTTAGCTGGAAAACACTCTGAACTTGAAGGCACATTTAACAAAAGCAACCACACTACCGCTGTACCTTTCTTTGAGGGAAGAGAGGGATTTTGGACAACTCGGACTCTTTCTCTTTGTTTCATTTTTTGAGTTGAATACGCCCTGTGGTTGGCCCAGGGAACAGCGTGAGGGGAGGGAGTGGGCAAGGAGCCCGAGACTAGGTCAGATTACCAGGAACTCACCGAGGACGTGCTTGGAACAGTTTAGAGGCAGGATTATGTGGAATTCAGTGC